TCTGATCAATCTGGCAGATCCTACATTTGACAATGTCATATTTTTGGACCATAATATTGGATTAAAGTGCTTCAATGTCCATTTTTTGCAATCTTAATTGGAAGTCTCTCTGTAAATAGTTTTTATGGCAATGATTCCCCCAGCTTTACCCGTGACAAGTGGTCTTCAGCAGTAGATCATTCGCATCCACTTTTCCTGCATCTGCAAATGACCTAAGCTTGTTGGACTGCAGCTTGTCCTGAAAACTCACTACCATTTAATGCTGGCCTTGTTTTGGGCCCTTCCATGCCTTTCTGATCACTGAATGGTGCAGTTTCTTTGAAACATGACATTATAATTATTTTTGTATTACAGGAAATCCTCATCCCCCCTGTTATTTTTACAGTTTTGCAACTGTCTTCTATAATTGAATTTGTTTTTATAGTTTTGGCACCATTTTTACTGTGACTTGTTGTTTTATATTGATTATATTCAAGCATCACCATTTTAAATTATTTTTTAGGACATGTTTTAAAGTTAAGAATGTTCTAATTGGGCAAGACTGGGCATGTACCACAAACATTAAAATTGCAAATTTCCATGGTTATGACCATATTGATACTTTTTCTTTCCTTTGTATCTGCGTAATATTAACCTCATCAGCATCCTTTCACAATTAAGGAATCAATAATTTAATAATTAAAACTCTTTTCTTTTTCTTTCTGAATATTCCACTGCAAAATTAATATTCAGTATTGTTTCAAATTGATACATTATTTTTTATAATAATAACCTCTGATGATTTCACAACAGATTTTTGGGAGTCAGCATTTAGGGTTCTAAATATAAGATCTATTAATCTTGTCCTTTCTGAGGAAACAGCACACTGGGTCTTCTGCAGGATTAACTTTCTGCACAAAATGTCACACTTAAACTCTTCGTTGGTTAATTTCCCTCTTGGTTAATTAACATCGAGGAGTGACCTTTAGCATTGACAGGTCCAACTTTATCTTGAAAGTCAAGGTTAAAAAACTATCTATTCAACAGGATTGATTACTGATTAAAAAGACTACAATGGGCACAAAGCAGGCACTGGTATTTTTAAGTCGAAGAGGTTCACAGAAAATGATTGAGTCTTTTTCTGACTGACAATAAGATGGCTACAGTATGCAGTTTTTAAAAGGCAAAAACAATCTTAAAGTTGGGGTACAAGACTAAGAACTTCCTAACACGAAAACACCTTAGTATTCTTAAGTGTTCTGCTACTTATTCCAAACAACACACACTGCTCATTACGCAAATGGGTTCAACCGCCCTGGTCTATGGGAAAGTCCTGGGAATTAGGTTAACTGGGATGATATTGAATGGAATACAGCTCAGGAGGAGTCAGTGATGCTTTAATTTTCATCTTTTCATCTTAGCAAAAGCCCAACCTTCTATAGAAACACTTTGCTTAGACTCATGACTGACCACTCTAGATACAGTGACCCTTCAAAAAAAGTTGATGAGACTACTGATACAAGGAAATACAGAGACTCTGTGTAGCCCTTTTCAGAAGCTTGAGGTGACGAACCAGCTCAAAAGATACTACAAATCAAAGGGCACCAGAACTCTGCCACAGACTAACCAAACTATTGACATTCACACTATAGAGCTTATCCTACTTCTCTGCTGTTCAGATTATTAAGAAAGGTAGGCTTTTTTCCCATTGAAGCATAAATTGAATACAACTAGCTTTACTCCAGAAAGCAGCAACCCCAAACCTGTTTAATATAGGTTAAAAAGCAATGTGGGGCACTGGTACATTGCTTTGCTGCTGTGCACATAAGCATTAAGACAGCATACATGTTTTTCGACCAATTTATTTCAAACGTTGGGCTCGAAGTGTCATTTTGATACTGCACCAGATGTCCAAATCAAGCTTGTTTTTCCAGCATTTAACTTATTCCCTTCTAAAAGCAGCAGAAATTCTAAGTTTATTTACGTTGGAGTTTCAGGCTATGGAGTACTATTTTTAATTGTTAGCAGCTGTAATATCAAAGTGTGCTCATTAAGGGAGCAATAGCATTGTGTACACATCCATAATCCTGAAGAATAAATTGTGGCAGGTCCATGTGCTACTGAATTACTAGATTGTTAGACTGGCCTCATTTTTATTCTTTGTTTATGAAAGCCTAAACTGCTCTGCATGATTAGCGCTCATAAAAAAGCTGATTTTTAATGCCCCCTTCATGGTAGCGGAAGGGGAGGTTTTCAGCCCTCAAGGCAGGAGATCTTGTCCTTTCAGAAGAGATGCTCAAGCTGATATTTTGACAGACTCTCTGCACTGACAGCAGAGGTATTTCCCATATGCTTTTACATGAGTCATCTCCAGGAAGCTGCCTTTATACAGTATGTCTTTATAGCAACTGAATCAATGACTTTATTATTATGGTGTAGCTATGTTTGTTTAGTGACATCTTACTCAGACTGACAGCAAAGCCTTTTGTGTTGCAGAAAAAATCAGGTTTGCCTGACTTTAAGGTATCATAGCACCTGAAAGGGACAGCATTTATTCTTTTTCCATAGTCTTTGTGTTTGGACACATCTATATATATATAATGGTAATGTGTTAAATATTCCTAGTAAATAGTTTCAGCCCATTAAAAAAAAAAACAGGACTAGAAACTTTCAAACTAGTGGCATCACAGACTTAGAAACACTGAATATTTGTTTTTGTAAATGGTCATTAACTTTTTTTTTCTAAAGCTGGTCACATGGAAGCATTATTTTAAAATTTGAGCGATTAAAGCAGAATTACATGATATAAAAGGGTCCAATTAAAGCTCCTAATTAAAACAACACTAATGTTTTTCACTCAGAAGGTTTTGGTAACTGTACGTGCAGCCCATTAAAATTTTATAACCAAAGTTTAATATGAACAAAATATAAGGAAGAGAAAGATTAGTACCTAAGAATAAGTGTGAGAGGTCTGTTCTCCTTACCTCTATTTAAAAAGCAGTTATACTCTAATAAATTAAACTCTAATAAAAAGAATATAATGATTCACATATAGATGCAGATCACCTTTCTCTTTGTCATGGAGACGTTTGAAAGCATCTTTTTATTAGAAACACAAATCAATATGCCCAAGGGCTTACAATAACTGCTGCAGGCAATTTGTATTATCACTTCTTTCACTGGGATCCCACTCTCTGAATAACATATGACAATGAGTGGCAGGAAAATGGCAACCTGTCACACTTGATTTCTGTAGTTCTTCAGTTTCCCCTTCATCCCCCCGGCCTTTGTAATCACGCACATGACTATACAGCTGCAGTACTTGGTCTAGAGAACTGCAGGTATAATTTCTCCTCAAAGGAATATTTAAACTGTCCTTTGGAAATAATAGACTACTGTACCTTTTTCTACTTTTTTTCTTTCACTTTGAGCAGAGATGTTTGGTTGTAATGAAAAAAATGTCTGTATTTATTCTTGAACAGGACTGTTTTTTTTTCCCCCAAACACAAAACACTGCTATTTTGAACACGATGGCTTTGCATGTTTGTAATTTTTTCTTTGATACAGCCTTGTCTCCTCGCTTGTCTCCAATAAGGTATGGCATGAAGTCTAGCCCCTACAGATAGTGCAGGTCTTCTATTCTGAAGTATCACAAGAAACTGCAAACCTTGATTTTTCTACAGTGTTTCTTCTAATTAAGGACATACTGATAAATCTCTGTGAGGAAAGCTTATTCATTGTGCTGGATCTCGTTTTGTACAATGCACTTCCTACACTGTATGTTTCCCACATAATGCGACGCTTCAACTGCAGTTCATGTTACTATAAAAAAAAACAATATGAAAAAGACTTTCAGGGTATTTAGCCTTTGCATGATTAAAATAGCAGTTATTTGTTGTGTCAAAATGTATGGAATACACAACAATTTGTCCATTGTCCTCCATATGTAGGGGTTTGGCTATAAATAAATCACAAAAAGCTGAATCCACCACTTTTTGCTCTAGTGTCAATTAATAAGACACTTAAGGATATGGGTATTGTGGCTTTATAGTGGCCCCTGCCAGGAAGAGAATGCAAGTGTATCTTTTCACCAATGGCTGTGAGACACATGGTTTGTCAAGCACCTGTAAATCCAAGGGCAACAGCTGGCATCTTCAAGATACAGTGTCAGAAATGACCATTCGTAGCACCATGCATGAATATGGCCTTCATGGCTGTGTTGCCTTTTTCTAGACACCTCTCGTTTGATGAATCCTCTTTTGTCATCTGAATGACAATTGCAACCATCAGGGTACACTGGTGATGATTAAATAATTGATAAAAGCTTTAAAGGTCACATTCTCACATGGGAAGGGAAGAATGGAATGTTTTGTAAATAAAGGGCCTCACAGTGTTACTCGGTGGTAGGTAATCCTTACAAAAAAATACATCGTAAAAAGTGTCCGAGTAGGAATAACTATCCTTAAAAAATAATAATTTATTAAACATAGTAATTTTACATTTTAGGAGTTGTTGTTATGTGTTATTTTTGGTTATATTATTTGGAAGCACTGAAAATATTTTCGAAGCTTTCCCACCCATCATCACAAATCTGGAACTGGTATGAACATACACTTTGGATCCTGCAGAGCTACTTAAGATTTAGTAAATATAAAGAATCTTTCCCATGACCAATTATCCTGGGTACTTTAATAACTATATGTACTCCTCCTTCTGTAATTAACAGGCATTTCAAACAATAGCTACAGAAATCTGAAGATGATCTGACTCTTTGATATGAGTCCTTCCATAGACAAAAAACAACACAGTAGATGGAGCAGAAACCCCTTGAAAAGGAATTAATATAGGATGATTAAAACTCTTGTAAACAAAGAGCTTTGAAAACCAAAGAAAAAGAAACCTCATTTATGCTGCACCAAATGGTTATTAAAAATCAGGTTATGGTTAGGATTGGTAGTTTTGCTACTGACAACAATAATTCTGTGTTTCAAAAATAAAATGTCTGTGTTTCTGGTATTTACCTTATTCTTGGCATAGGATGTGTTCAGCACACTTCTAGTCTCCTTTCCAGTGTAAATCACCACTCCTATCACAGTTCCTGTCAAAACAGCACACAGCAATTGAGAGGTTTAGGAACTGAAGATCACAACAGTTGAAAGACAGCATTAAATTTCACTTGTGCATACATTTGCATCATACACTGTACGGAAATCCTAATTGAGGTTTAGCACACCAAACCACACAATTTGGGTCTTCAGTGGTACAATCTTGATCAATGTTTTGTCTTTCTGTTTCATTTTATTAGTTTTAAATAATTTGCTATGACTTCTGTTCTATTAGGGATTCACTACGTACTGTATTCCACTGCAGTATTTTATGTGAATCAGTAAATTATGACGCCATTATTTGTGCAGGGTTTGCCAAGTTTCATCCAAAAGCTGATATTTTAATATCTACTACATTTCCCATTGAACATTACTAGCATATAAGCTTCCTATACACATTTACGATATTCTAAAAGCTTTGTAATGCTCTCTGAAGCTCGGTTTTGCATAATTTACAAATATGAAATATTCAAGGGCATTCAAGCAAATAAGGTTACAAGAGCTATGCCTTTATTTGCACACAGCTACAAGCACAACCAATAATAAGGTCATCAGACTCATTATTTCTCCACATGTCTCTAGGGTTGGAGATTTGTGTCTTATGTGTCCCACCACAAGAAATCCATGGCAAGCTCTTGAATCCAAGGCTTAACTATCTGTATCATTTTCCCATTGGCTGAAACTTAACTGCTTCTTTAAGGGAAATCACTGTGAGCCAGGTCAAGACAGTGAGGCAAAGGAAAAATTATTATGGCAATGAATTTCAGCCGATATTCTGCCCTTTCCATAACACTGTGCACCATAATGCCCGACTAAGTCCCAGCCATCTTTAAGGTGATAGCTGGTTTCAACAAGAACTAGTGGTATACTCCCACAAGCTCATAATGAAGCAGATGGTGGCATAACAGAACCTAGTCAACCCTGCCAGGGTAACTCATTTTTAACTGCAAGGAACCTTGTTACTTGATTATAGAAACACTCACGTATGAGAATCTCTTCAGGACTATCTGCAAAATAACTTGCAGTGTGAGTTGGAAAATGCCATCAACTCCAGTCCTTTAAGCCCAGCAAATGACTTAAAGAACCGGGGGCTTTTGTGTCAGAAATGCAAATCACTTGCAAGAGCCAAGAGCTGAAGAAGAGAAATTTGATTCAAACTTACTGTTTATTTTGTTTTTCATTAGGAGGTTGCGTGTTACAATGTGTAAATACAAGTAAAATATATTCTGATTTAATGTATCTTGACTTCAGGCTGTTAGGTCACAAAATATGTTACTTTAGATAGGGTGTTTAGACTTTATAAATGCTCTGTACATCCAAAAAAATAATGTTTTTCCCTTCTCCTAGTGCAGGAATATATTACAATCATAACTGCTTACTAAAAACACGTGTCATTCCCTAAAATTAGGTCTTCACTTTAAAAATGGATACAGGCAGCATCCACTCCAGAACTCACAGTGATCAGCAGAAATGAAAGAACAGACCACACACAGTGCTGCCAAAACTGCAAATGTGATATTAAAACTACAAAATGACCAAACAAAGCTTGTGGTCCTAACATTTCAGTTTTTTCAGCCAATTTGTCGTAACCGTTTGTTGCTTTTTTATGGAGAAGTGAGCTATTGTCGTTTAATATACAGGAACATGTTGAATTTATGGCTGATAAATTCTGGATAATGCATATCCATGTTCGCTTGTATCCAGATTGGGAGTATCAATTTAGGTCATCTATGTATTTCTGTACATGCGGTATTTATTTTGAAGCTTTTGAACCAAGTAAGAGAACTGCACGCTACACAGGTGCTTAAATGGAGTGCCGCACAATTTCTAATTGAGTCAAACAAAGAAGAAAAGTAGTCTATCGGAATGAGGATACTTATGGCTGAAACCTTGCATTACAGTTAATAAGAAAAAAGCAAATGCGGTTTTCATTATAGTACACCTCATTCCTATTACTGACATGCAGGCTTGGCCTCTGCTGACTTTCTGCATGCACACATCTTTATTTTGCACAATTAGCAGCAAACCACCTGACTATAAAGAGCTTCTTTGCCTTTCACTCAGAATAGCTAACAATTGTCATTTGTACAATCCCTAATATTTATTTTAAGTACTAAAACCCATTAACAGCCCGCACGTTTTATTCTGAATCTTAAAAAGCAAGAGCACTGGGGTAAAACATTTTTATCATGAAACACTTGCAGACACGTAGGCGTGCACACACAGAGAAAACTGAAGACACTGAGCTCTCAGAGTCTCCGCCATCCTCATAGAACAATATAAATTCTGATCAATATTCCCATCTTAATTTGCCAATTCATTATCACGCCCTCGTTCTGAAGACGAATGTGCTATTAATATTAAATGAACATGATGGGAAAGCAAGGCCACTTATAAACTTAAATACATCCTAAACACTTCTAGAGTCATCAGGACCCAGAGAAAAAAAATTAGAAGCAATGAATCATGTCTGGCAAGCTGTCTTGGAGGCGACGAAAAAAAAATTAGTGTGCAACTTATTATCAGTGCTAAATTACAGTAGATACAGATCGGCATTACAATGAACATCGTTAATAGCAGGCATGTCAAACCCCTAACATGATCCATAACCTTCAGATGCCCTTTTAGAGTCCTGCACCTGGGTGAGGCTATGGGGTTTTTGATGGAAAGGTTCTACAGAGACTCTAACGCACAGCAAAGAGATTTCAGAGGATAGGTGGTAAAGCAATAGGCTGAAGTAAAGAACCATGAGCTGTGGCAACATATCGTGAAGCTGTGCACCTGTGGAGGCCTGGGATCACCTACTGAAAGCTAAAAGAGCCTGCCAATGTCCCAGCTCCCTGTCTCCCCTAATACAGAGACACAGAAAGCTGGACAGTTCTGCGGTCAGAAGCAATATTAAAGAAAAGTACATGGTTACTGTTGTTCAGATTTCTGGTCACACATTTCCCAATAATAAAAGTATTACCACACCGAATGCATCAGGCATTCAACTCTAAATTGATTCAATTCAATTTGTTCAAAAGGAATGAGGAAAATATTCCAGGAAATTAACTTAAACCTTTTTTCAGTGACAAAAGTTATTTTACCTACAATACCAAAGCTTAGGATAAGAAGAGAGTAAATCCTGTCATCCTACAGAACCAGGGCCTCATTTTAAGGAAATCAATCGCAATAAATGATATCGATACTGTACACTGTAAACTCTAATCAATTTACTGCCATAACAACATAGCTTCAGTCATTACAAGCTCAGTGTATAGCAAGGTTCTGGGATGGCCTCGGAATAATAAGAATAGAAAAGATAAATAAAGATCAATCAACAATTTCAATCTAAAGCTCATGGAAGAGCGGTCTCCTTCATAAGCATTTTAAGCTTGGTCCTCTCCAAATTTTTTAAACTTCACTATAAAAGCTATGGCTTTAACAGACAGCTTTGTAGAGCATCACCCTTTCTTTGACTTATCTTTTGTTTCATTATTAATGTTGAGAAATTCTTTATGCCCATATAAAAATGTGTCAAATGTGTAATCTGCTTCTACATTGTTGTTATTTTTCTTACCATTTGTAATTTGCAAAAATATAGGATGTGTATGTTTTTGTCTTAACACCACACCGAAAACATATTCATCCTTCAATGGATATATGTAGTGTCATATTCAATTTTCTTAAATCTCTTTCATACTGATATTGTCAGTACTGGCACTTACGTCTCTCCAGAGAGGATTTAAGTCACTGTAGTGCGGAAGATAACCTTTCTATCCAAGGGGCTGCACATGAAGAGGCCTTATGCTTATCATAAATAAGCCTCCTCATCCCTACTTATCTGCCATACATGTGCAGAAAGCAGCTCAAAGTTCTTTTATCAAACATTAATATTTGCCATTTATATGCTGCTTTGCATTTTTAGTGGATATCTAATATGTTCTTCATGTATTGGTTTAAATAATAAAATAATGTATTTAATGTGTTTAATGTTAATTTAAAGAATTCAAAACAATTCTAAAAAATAAAGGGGTGTATCTCCGAGATAAGATATGTATATGTATTATTAAGTATGTATGCTGGCTCCAGTGCCACTTCTGTTCATCAAGATAATTACATCCTTTTCCCAAGGCCACAACTGCTCCAGCTGCCCCAGCACTTTTACACTGGAGCTTTTACCACATTTGTATGGGACATAAGGCTTGACCCCAGCACACTAGACAACAACTAGGCTGAACAGCAAAACATGATGTGGAGAGAGGGAAATGTGATGGGGAAACTGATGTCACTACAGATTAGTCATGACCATGGCGTCTTCAAAAGCCCATCATAAAGTGTTTATAGGTCAAAGGGATACAGTGGTCATGTGAATAAAGATGTTCCCTATGGCACAATGTTTCTTTCAAGCCTTACTGCACAGCTGGTGATCTATCAACTCCTGGTTCCCCATCATTAGTTCCTACAGAGTCTGGTTTTCTGTTACTGTCTCCTACCTTCCCTGATGCCTACCACCTACACCTCAGTCCCTCACCCAGGGAGGTCAAGCTTTGCTGTGCTTTGGCTGCAAGCAGACCATTATGCGTCTGGACCCGTGGTGAAAACTTAATAATGTTATAGGCCGGGGAAGATATAGGTACGAACTTTCTCAGGCTCACAAAAGCAGCCACGATGTAAGGATCTGATGAACAGAGCACACCTCTTGCTAAAGTGTGTCGAGTGCCCTGTCAAGGAATGAGGTTCCTCTGCGGGTCAAGGTCAGGCCAAGGGAGCAATGATCGGGGAACACCTCAGAACCCTCTGGCTCCAATTGCCACTGCACTGGCAATTCCAGAGAAGACAGACCACAAATTGATGGGCTGGAAGATCACTAACAGCACACTGAAGCAAGTGTATGAGGTACAAGATGTACATTGGAAAAATAAATGACATCAACCCAGATAGCTGAGTATCTCATTAGCATTTTTTCTTATTTTTTCTGTGACGTTTATAGGTATATTTGTACAGGACTTTTCAGGACTTGGTCTATATTCTGTAGAAGATATGAAAGGTCATGAGAATGTTCTACTCGTGTTACAGATTAAAGTATACATACATACATAACTACATGCATGATCGCATGTATTGAAAAAGCCATATCTGCTTTAATGTAAACTGCACTACCCTAAAGATGCTTTTGTCTTATGCACAAAATAATTTGGAAAAACATTTTGTATTAGAAAAAAACATTTTTTAAGAAATATGTAGTTTTACTGAAAAAAGTCCTCTTATAAACAGTATTCTTCTACAAATACACACTGTAGGTGGAGTGGCAGCAAGGCCAAACTAAACTGTACTTGTTTTTTAGTGCACTTGAAAAAAAAAACACATTTTTTAAAGAAATCAGCACATTCAAGAAGAAAAACATCTCTTCGTAAATGAACTTTATCAAATTTTTTATAACCTCAAGACAGTGAAGTGGCTGAATGAAATCGTTACATCCCAGGCCAAATTCCAGATATTGACAATGTTTCAGTTAAAATAAGCGCCTTCTCACTACATGCATTATTCACACATGCAGTGGCACACAGCTGCCATAGAAGGGCCAGACAGGAGGCAGACTACAGGGAAATGAAAACGAAGAGGGTGGGAGTGAGTTGCTTCACTTTCAAACGGATTGTAAAAACAACACGTTGTCGCGATAAATACCGTAACTAACTGAAAACAAAGACGGGCGATTCTCACCGGATGCCACGACTGTACTTGCCCACAGTGTGTTCTCGATACTCAGGCTTTCATGGATGGGAGGATCGCTGTCTTCCTGCAATGAAAACGACAGCAGCATCACTTCTGCACCCCAGAGGGAGCCTTCTGACAGGGCTGCTTTCCCACAATATGCCACACTAAGAGGATGAACAAGCACATCCATTCAAATTTACAAAGGTGTGTTTTAGCAGGATTATCATGAACAACCAACTTCCACTTAAAGTATGGCTGTCACATTTGTAATTTATTCTTAAAACAGCTTTCTCAGGTTAGGTGACCATGTTTCTCCAGTATTCTGACTCAAATCTAATCTCTCCGGCAAGCTGTACTTTATCAAGAGTAGTGAGAAAATATCATTTATTAGAGAAAAGCATTTCTATAAACAGAGTTGGTTGTTAACACACGGTACAGAGGTTTTGCAAAGCAGTGACCTTGCACAAATACAATCCCAGAAAATAGGACAATTCTTCAGCCAGTCGGGTGAAGGGTACGAGACAGCAGATTTTGAAGAAAGTGAGATTTATTTTAGATACACATTCAAAAAATTGAACACTGTGTCTGGTTTTCTTCATTACACCAAATGTTAAACAATGATTTGTAAAGGAGAGGCTTTTTTTGCTAATTTCAGTGCATTTGTAGAAATAATCAAGCTTGTTATTAACTCACTACTTGTCGCAATTCACTACAAATGTTAGCTGCCTGAACCTGCAGAGTAATTGCCTTTGAATTGACTGGAATGATAAAGTATTTCCAAAGTTTGGTGATGTAATTTTTTGCAATTACTAATAATTAGAACCTAAAGCTCCGAGCAGTCAAGAAAAAAAATGAATGCTTGAATTTGTTCTAGGCACTCGCCGACAATCAATAGACCTTTACTATAAATTCCCGTTGAAATGAAAGGGATATTGAAGGAGTGCTTGATTTGCATTACTCCATTGTAATTAAAAAGAAATGCCAATAAGGTTCAAAAACTAAAATTGATTCTCGTTAATGCAAATCCCTAATTTACAATGGAAATATTAATTTAAGTAGACGTACATCATAAATTATAGTCGCACAAAGAAAAAAACAATCCCATCTCATTTGCAGTGTAAACAGAATCCCACAGGAATGATTTAGCAGTTAGGACTGGAGTGTGCTGAGTGTTGAGCAGGGTTTTTACTGTACAAGAAATCGAGTTGTGTTTTTTTTTTTTCATGCAACTTTCCAGACAGCATGCTGTGGTTAGTTTGTTACAGATGATGCCTAAACACAAATTTCAGAGGAAAAATAATTACAAACAAGGCCCACACACAGAGAGTCTGCTGCAAAGTAGGGGATCCAAATATAGAACATAAGCATTGAAAACAGATATGGTTTGCACATGCTATTGTATGAATTTATTCACAATAATGGGAGCTCATTGCGTCATTCAGAGTCTGCTTTTTATGAAAACATACAAAATGCTTAGGAGTTAATCTGAATTAAGGTTAAATGACGAAAATATATTTCTGTTGTATAAAGCCTACGAGAAATTAAATTTGTTTTTTATGCATTAAATTTAAGTCATTGACAGTTAAGTTGACTATTTTATCCCTTATAAGAAACCTGGCTTTATACTTTCATGGCTAAAATGTACGGAATAAAACAATCACTGCACCTTAATACTGTAGTTTAATCAGCTACTACAACATGTGTATCCATTTCTCTTGAATCTGATTTATGCTCAGAGGCCACACAATCAGTATTCTGCACCCCCCCCCCCTTCTTAATATGATGCAAATGGACAAGGTTTAACTTTCATTATAGCAACTGGTTATTACTTTAAACTCTGCTTAGATCAAACTACAACATTAAGTGAAAGGATTCTTTATGTCAGTTATCTGACTATATTTGGCCACTTGAACCCCTCTAGAAGGAGACTGAGGATGACATCAGATAATATTTCAACTACGCTGAGTCTGTTCTAATGACTTGCAGTTTTACAGTTTATGATCTACACTCCAACCCCCACCCCACTCCCCTGGCACCTCCCTCCCCACCCCAGGTCATTCTCTTAATTAAAGATGTCTGCTTAAAATGGGTAAAGTCAGGAGGGGAAACGGGGATTGTGTTCCTTCTCAAATTGCCTGCCTGATATGATGAATATGATAACTTCGTGCTTACTCAAGTAAGCAATAGTTACAGTCACATTATTCTAAAAAATAGCTAAACCTAACTTCACTGCTTCAACAGTGAAAATAAAAGTTCATCAGGACAATTTAAACAAATTGCTGTTTCTATAGCTAGCTATAGCGTTGCTCACAGTGTATTACGAAAGGTGAAAGCTCAGAATCTACTCAATAAAGGCCCTTTTAACTATGGGGCTAGTTACAGAGGTCTGTGAGAAAAAGGCTTCTAATAAAAAAAAGTGAATCGAAAAGCTAGAGGACAAGTTACGCAAAGACAGAAGAGAATGAATCAGAACAGGAAATGCTCTCTTGCTAAGCCTTGTGTGTGGCCAAGAATGAAAGCAATAAACAAAGATGCTCTTTGTGGCTGTATGCACAGTGTAGGCCCCTTTTTCAGGCTGTTAAAGCTAATCTGCTATTAATAAAATCACTGCAGAAACTGTGACCTGAAAGGAGAAAAACCTGCATCTAAAGTCGAAGTCACTGGATGCACACTGCTTAAGGTTGCTTGCATTTAGTGTGGCAAAGTGCTTTATCATTTATCTGGGTCACTGCACTGGAGATTCAAAGTGTACATCATTTAAAAACTAATAAGACCCAAGAACTGCAATGCTGAATGATTTATACGACCCGCACCCATGCAATAGGATTATAGCGTATCCCAATGAAATAAGATGCAGTGTTTCTCAATTTACACAACACGCCATAAAATGAACAACATGTTTACAAGGGTTGTTCAGTATCTGAAAAGAAGCATTTCATAGTATCCAACAAACATCTGTGCTGTGATAGCCACTTCAGCATCTCTGAATCTTATGTTTTCTAATTCACTAGAACCAGAATCTTATTGCAAAATTATTCAAACATTATTCAAAATTAAGAATAATTTAACATATCATGTCCTATTCTTAATAAACTTATCTTTTTATGATACTAGGTGATAATGCTTAATGTATTAATGTACAGTCATGGCCAAAAATATTGGCACCCTAGCACTTTTTGCAAATAACTCACAATTTCCACTAAAAATAAGTTGAAATTGAAAAAAGTATTTGGTCTCCACAATTCTTTACTTCAGTTAATATTACAGAACCTTTGTTTTAGATTCAGAACTTAATATATCCTTTTAAATCAGAAAATAAAAAGAGATGGTACTGACAAAATTACTGACACCCCAGACTCAATATTTGGTAGAACAGCCTTTGGTCAAAATAACTGCAATCAAGCGCTTCCTATTTCCATCGATGAGCTGCCTGCACCTCTGTACTGGCAGTTTGGCCCACTTCTCTTGTCCAAACTGCTCCAGTTCTCCCAGATTTGAAGGGTGCCTTCTCCCAACTACTGTTTTCAGATATCTCCACAGGCTTTCAATGAGGTCATAGATCTGGATTAATTGCTGGCCACTTCAGAACAGTCCAGCATTTTGTCTTGAACCATTCCTGGGTACTTTTTGAAATGTGTTTGGGGTCATTGTTGTGCTGGAAGACCCATGACCCATGACCAAAGACCCAGCTTTCTGACACTGGGTATGACATTGCGCTCCAAAATGCCTTGGTTTTTCTCCTGATTTCACGAAGCCATGCACACGTCCAAGGCACCCAGTGCCAGTGGCAGCAAAGAGACCTCAAAACATCACTGAACCTCCTCCATGTTTCACTGTAGGGAAGGTGTTCTTTTCTTTGAAGGCTTCATTTTGTTTTCTGTAAACATAGAGATGGTGTGTTTTACCAAAAAGCTCTAATTTGGTCTCACCTGTCAACAGGACATTCGCCCAGAAGGATTCTTGCATGTTCAGGTGTGTTCTGGCAAATTGTAGTCCGGCTTTCTTATGTCTCTCTCTCAGCAGTGGGGTCCTATTGGGTCTCCTACCATATAACCCAGTTTCAGTGAGTTGACAATGGATGGTGTGAGTTGAAACCGTCGTACCTTGTGTCTGAAGGCCAGCTTGAATCTGTGTGGCAGTTGATCAAGGTGCTTTCTTCACCATTCGAACAATCCTTTGCTGCAATCTTTGATCAAGTTTTCTCTTTCGGCCACGTCCAGGGAGGTTGGCTACAGTGTTATGGGCCTTAAACTTATTCATAACATAACGTACAGTGGAAACAGGAACATCAAGGTCTCTGGATATGGACTTGTAGCCTTGAGATTGTCTATGCTTAGCTACAATCTTGTGTCTGACCTCTGTATCTGTGTCTTGTGCCTGACAATTCTTTGGTTTTCCCATGCTCATTATGGTACACACAGTGACACAAAACAGGAGAATGAGTCCTTTTCCCTATTCAAAGAAGAATCACCTGCTTGAAATCTAATTATCTCTAACTTCTTGTAGAAGGTGCCAATAATATTGTCTGGGCTATATTAGGATTTCCTGTGGAATAAGCTAAGATTTAGTATATTATTCAGCTTTTTTTGTTGTTCCACTGCAAACCAAAGAAATACATATGTGGATACCCAACGTTTTTTAATTTAAACAGTTTTCTGGTAGAAATGTTGCATTATTTGAAACGCGCATGGGTGCCAATATTTTTGGCCATGACTGTATATAACACACTATAACATTTTTAATTTTAAAGGTTCATGGAAGGAATCCTAACTTTAACCATGTATGGCAAAACATAAGGGCATTCTTCAATGAATCAAGACGTTGAGATTCTGATAGTTCATGACAAGCATATAACATCACATGGATGTCTGTACTTTTGACTGCAAATCAATATGGTGGTCTTTAACCTCAATGTCTTTAACTCTCCCTCTTTTCAAAGTGTAGGCTATTTTTTTTTTATAAAACATGTTAGCCATAAAGGAGCTCAAAGAGGATTAATTGAACAAAAATTATCAAAGTCCTCTTTGAATCCATGTTCACTTGCTTTTTGTTGGTAACTTACCCGCGTGAAGGTGCCTTCAAAGCTGTGAATATCTAGTTGTGGCTTTTGAGCATAAACGTAGGCATTGATTGAGAACAGATCCTGTGTGCATACAAAACAAACAAAGACAAAAGAGCAAATATTAAAAACTGATTCCAAACCACAAGCAAACATCAAAAATAGTCCAAACGTTTTGATCAGAAAGCAGATGTTCAGGAAGCAAATTGACCTTTTGTCTGCTAGGTTTTCATATGAATCTGATGAGAATCATACCACTGAACAGCAGGCTACTTTCCGAATACATGCACAGACGCACTGGAAAAAAACATTTGCAGCTTTATGAAATCCTGTATCTGACACTAGATTAAGCAATATTTTTTATCATCATTTAGTGGAAAAGTAATCAAAAGCTGCATGAGGAAATGTTGATTTTCCATCTAAAATTCACTGCATACAAAGTGCATCTAGTACAGTAGTTAACTACAATCTGTTTGTTATCCACAAAAACAGCAGTCGTTTTCCTTATGAATCCTAGAATCGGTATAAATTCTGACGCAGGAACATAGTAGCCATTATTTCTGGTCCAAGAGAAATAATTTTACAATGGGAAAAAAAAGGAACAACAAAATGTGAGAATTTTCTGTTGAGAGAGTACTTGTACCAGAACACTGAAGTCCCAGCAACAAACTAATCACATGTATTCTGAGGATTGTACACATAATAATTATAAAGGAACAAGTAATGTGTTTATTCCAGTTTTTTGGCCGTATAGCCTTCTTCAGGTGTGAGCATAATAATTATAAGAACATAAGGACAGTTACAAACAAGAGGAAGACTTTAGGAACATTTAGTTTGGTTGTTGTCACTGTTTCTTGAAGGAAGCAAGGGTATCAGCTTCCACAGCTTGGCTGAGTAGCTTGTTTTATACTCCCACAATCCTTTGGGTAAAGAAGTGCCTGCTGTTTTCAGTTTAAAATGCACTCTTGTAATACACATTTATGTAGCTTCCACTTGTGTCCACAGTCAGTTAAATACTCAAGGAAAACCTGTTTCAGCCTGCTTAGGACATAAAACTACGGTGAAAATCCTTTCAGTAGAACAATGGTCCAAAGATCAAAGCTAAAGCTACACTGGAGTTTTTTTTTGAAAGAATTAGGAAGTGAATGACCTTGAGTGGCCCAGTCACAGTCCTGAACTGAATATTTTTTCAGAATCTGTGGAGAGACCGGTGTCCATTAGCGATCCCCAAACCACTTGAGAGAACCTGAGCATATCTGCATAGAAGAAAGGGCAAATACTGCAGCAAGCCAGTGGGCAAAGTTGGCTGAGATTTACCCAAAAAGACTTGTGGCTGTAATTGCTGGCAAAGGTGCTTCCACAAAATATTGAGGTCATGGATCTCACTACATATAGTGCATAATAAATCAGTTTTTCAGTTGTGAATTTCAGTTTTTCCTCTTTAGGTTACCCTTTGGAGACTGAGCTTTCAGGTTTTGATTATTAATGTGAAAAATGCATGGCTTTGTAATTTCACTAAATCGGATACTATAGGGTCTGAATATTTTTTAAGGCACTGCATTCGATGTCCCTCATTTAATCAGGTGTTTCTATTTTTTGGCCTCTACCTGTATCTATCTCTGGAAGTAGATCCAGACCAGCAATATGTTTTCTATAATGTGGTGACCAAAATTCCACATAGTATTTTAATAGGGGCCTTGCTAAGAGATTATACAATTTTAGCATAGCATTCCCTGATTTAAATTCTATGCATGTAACTATACATCCTACTATTTTCTTTGCCTTTCCTATTGTTTCCCAACATCTTACTGAGAAAGTCTATGGTAAATTCAGTAATTGTACAAGTACCAAGCATAGTCATACATGGGTGAGCGGCAGGAAATTAGATGGTATCGGAAGCACTCATATGACCTTGGGAACAACACCTGGGCAGCTTGTTTTCTCATTACTGTTGACACAGTTAATGGAAACTTTATATTTGGGGGTGAAGAATACCTGCTAGTAGTACTGAATGCATAAATCAATTTTTCTTAAGTTTAACAGTAAAGTGATGAAAAGTTACTAGTTTCTAATTTAGTACAATAACAGCACATACATTTTGTGGCAAATGTGCAGCAAATTCGTTTATATCTCTCAAGTGACCATTATCTAATTACAGTAAATAATAATACAAGGCACTGTTATTTTATAGTTAGATACAAAGGCATCTTATATGCATTAAAATAATTTATGAAATCCCTTTAATTTTTAAAGATTATCATGTGTATAATACCTAGGTTTCCATCATACTGTATTGTACAAAGAACATACTTCAGCCAACACATTTTAGTTATCTGAAACATATTCTTCAGTATATGCTCTTTGTTGCTACAAATGTCAGAGACATATATAAGGTCTTATCCAATTTCATGACTTACCACACATACAAGTAAACATTTACAACAAACATGAACATGTTGTCAATAAGAATATGATATGAATACTAGCTTTCATAATTAATGTAATACTGAAATAAATTTCAAATGTGATTTCTGAGCATGCTATCCATACATCAGTGGAGGTTTTATGATAAAAACAAGTTTACTTGACTTCAACTTTCCACTCAGGTGGGTCACAGGGGGGCAGGCAGGCAGAAAGAAACTTTGATGTGGCCACTTGAGCAACACTTCATGTGCAGTCAGTACAAACCAAAGTGCATCTTTCGTGTAACACAATTTCGCTCCATAATATCAATAAAGACCTAAAGGAAAGGAATGTGCAGGGTCTCACAAAGAGCTTTCAAACCAATACTGTAAGCTAAATGCCAAAACATGATGGTTTTCCAGTACTTAACCTTTATTTGTAACATTTGCAAAAACAGCAGTACATGCACAAATTCATCAACATCATAAACTACAAAAGATATCATAAACTGACAACATTCCATTACACTTATCATACATTACAAAAACACTTTAAAAAATAACCCTATTGAAAACCAAGAAGCATAGAACACAGTCAATATTATACAGCAAATGTCAAATCTATAGCCAACAGCATACTAAGACCTAAAATTTAATTCTTTCCTCCTTATTGACTTTCTAAAAATACCTTTAAATCTAAACTTAAGCAGTTCTTTTTTGTCCTTCTACGCTCCTTCAAATTTTACTTGATACAGTTACCATTAAGAGGAATTAAGAATTCACATCTTTAGAAGAAAAAGAGAAAGTAAAAAAAGTGATAAAAAAGTAAATCAAGTGATTTTCAATCTTAGAAAAGCAGCGAGAGCTCGTATCCATTTCCCTCTCCAGCTCCCTGCCAACTATTGTAAATCATTCACACGCTGGCCACTCACAGCTCCTGTTCATCCCCTTCCAACACTCAACGGGTTTACAAGAAATAATTCATATGATCCCGGAACGCAAGCAGTGTCCTATATCTTCATCATTCACTCTTCTCCCCATCTGTTATCACCCACAATTGAGATAATCTAGGCTATTATATAAAGGTTATTGTACAGAGGAAAATAACAGTCTCTCAGAGCTGAATCCCTACTATGGAAAACCAACACCACACACAGACTCTAAGAAAAAAAGGAGACAGTTATTGAAGTACGTCAGGTAAAACACCTCTCTTTTTTTAATCAAATCAGTAGACTGTAACATGCTTTCGAATTTTTGCACAGTGAATTGAGTCTTAGTGTCTGTGAAACATACAAGCATTGGAAAGAGAAAGCAGACAACAGCTGCTGCCTCTGTTTTAAGGACCAGAGCAGGTTATGTCGCTACTTTGCCAACTCTTTTCCTTGAAAAGGAAAAGGAGAGCTTCTATTGACTGTCTCCTCTGTAAAAGAGCTAAGCTTTAAATTAACAAGTCCCTATCAAAAAGGCTGTTGAAGGAGATACAGAACCATGTGCTGTCTCCCTCACTAGTAGGAGGCTCAATCCCTTCCTAAACTCAGGGGATCATCATCACAAACCAGTCAGCATATATTTCGTTGAAGCTCCTCTTTAGGGCGAGCAGAATAACAGATCACTTTCCACAGTCGTGCAGCACCACATAAAAGCCATGTCAAGAAACTTGGGAAAATGTGAGAAGCAAGCGAGCTTCTTAAGAAAAGGAAATATTTGCTATACGAGACTAAAAAGTGTTTTAAATTGTTCACAAATTTTGTAACAATACGAAAATCTAGAAAAGATGCTGAGGTGGTATTTTTAATATGGTTACAATTTAAAAAAAAGTTTCAGTCTCACTAAGTCAGGGCTAAAGCCATAGTAGCGCTTTCATTGAAAAAAACATTTTACTATTCAACTATTACAGACTTTTTAACAAAAAAAAGATGCCTCACCCAGACATCTCCCAAATCCTTGAAATTAGTATTCTTCTTAGTTGTTTTTCTGGAAAGTAGGAGATGTGTCATTTCAAGAGAAAAAATACAAAAAGACAGCATCCAGTTGTGTTATGTGTTATGTGTGGTGTGTGTTGTAACTGGGAGCTTCCTGGTCAAGGCACTACGAAACACATTTCCTCCTGAGTACTATGTTAACTTAGTGTTTCATGAAATAAGTTTAAGAAATACAGAATTTCTAAAACTACATCATCTGAAATTAACCTTTAAAAAGCACAACTCATACAAACATGTCTTCATGCACTAAAATGAAAAAAGTGTTCATGCATAAAAATGAAAAAAGAACTAAAACCTCAAGTGAGATATTAAATTAAGTAGACAAGACACAATCTTTACACCTGAAGATGATATGGGAGGATTTGTTTACACACTTCACAAAGAAACCAAATACCCCTTCTTTACAAAAGCACAGAGAAAACATAAAAAAGACCACTGTTTCAAACAACTATAATTAAAAATACTGCATTTGCAAGGACAGCAGTTAGGTGCAGGGTGTGGGAGGAGCCCTGTTCTTTTACACACACACTCTTGTGTCAAATTTCACTTTAGTTTAGTGGGAGCACATTCTTTCTAAAAGTTAGACAACTGTTTAGTACAAATTACACGTCATTTATTATTTTTGTACATTAATGTTTTATTCTGGAAATGTAAATTTCAGCTTCTTCTCCTTTTCCTAGTTAGCTTTAGATGTGGCTGTACAGTATATTGGTTACTGTTAAGTGTAATTTGAATAGAACTTAACTTTCTTACTAATAGGTTTTACTAATAGGTTCACCCCCAAACTAACTTCATTTTTGTTTCCAATTTACAGTCTTCTGATATTCAATGAGAAAATGAGAAATGTTTAAGAAATGTATTTAAGTTTTCTCCACTACCTTGCTTTCCAAATAATGTTATAAATCTGCATTTATCCAATAAAAAATCTCCATTATACCCATCTTACTTTGCAAAAAAGCCAAATGACCAAGCCCCATGTGACAACTTCTAGACTGTTATATGTGTGTTTCACAGCAGCTCAGATTCAGTACTGATTCAGTAAATCATGGAAGGTGACAGACAAGGGACAGAAACTCTGTGTCACAGCTGTGTCAGAGAATTCAAAGTCAAGACAGTTCTTACTTGGCTAAAGCATCAGCCTTTGCACAACCAAAATGTCTGGAAGAAAACTACACGATCACGAATGATCAGGGTTTGATACACACATTGCCGAAGAAATACCCAAAATATCTTCATGAAAATGGGAAGACAAATACTATATGAGGTGAAAAGAGTGTATGAGCTGCGAATGAACAGAGATTATTTTATGCTGCAGACTGAACGGTAAGGTGAAACAACAAAAAACAGTGTTTGTGGTGTATTATTCAGGTGTGTTCATATGCAAATGACTATATGTATTCAAGAGAAAATGTGAAAGAATATAAACTCGGCTCAAACGTGTGCCAAGACTCCAGTTTGAAGACCACAGGATCGCACTTGAAAAACAAACTACACATGACACAATGCAAATGAGAAAGTTTTAAAGCAAACCTTTGCTTTTGGTTTATTTGACTTTATGCAGATGTCAGACTGAAATGAAAAGTGAAAGCGTCAAGTGAGAACAACCAATCAGCCCCCCTCATCGGTGGAAAGCGTGGCAGTAAGGAGCCGGATCATGTTCTGCTGTGACCCGTCAACATTCCTGTGGTCTGACCGGGACCCCAGCTGAGGGGGTTAAAATTGATTGTAAATGCTGAATAATTCAGCCAGGATACCGTTGTAAAGATGCGTTTCTTCAGTTACGTTCAGGAGCGCTTTCAAAGCAAAAACGTCTGAAGGTTGTCTTCTCAAGGCCCATTTAGAAATCCAGGTCTGCCCAATCATGGGCCACATCTTTTTTTCCCCACTGTAGCAGAGTGACACCTCCACTGCTTGTACCATGTCTGAACAAACATTTAAATATTCGGCTAAATTCTAAATTCAACTAACTTATTATTCAGCTAAATTCATTCAACTTAAAACATTGTCCCAAAATGCCTGAACAAGCTGTAATAACTTTCTATTTTACAGATAAAAAGCTTTCTGTAAATACTCACAACTTTTCTGCCAATAATATACAGTATAGTAAAAAGGAACTAAAGAGATGTGCACATTTTACAATTTCTTATTACTCAGAAGCAAATGAAAAACATCTTCTAAGAAGAGTGATATCACATCCGGAACAAGCCAGCTATTCCTAAAACGTAAGATGCTAAAACTGCTAAATAATGCCATTATAATGGCTCTCTCTTCCGTTTCTTCCACAATAAAAAATTTCAAGTATTCTCTCTTACCATTTATAATGGAAGGGGAAAAATGCCCTCTACCAGGTCAAGGGCAACATTTGTTAACCTCACTTAAAGATCATTAAAATATGTCCTTAATCATAACATGAGGTTCATTACAAATAAAACAGCCGACAGCTCAATAAAACTAATTAAATGTAAATGGTACAGTTTACTACTTTATGGATCTTTTAATATAAATCAGCAAGCCTCCAATTATTGAAAATCACAGTGACCTCATAGCCTGTAATAAATTCACCTGATCACATAAAGTAGGAGAGAATGTCCTAGGAATTGGAGTGAGTCCAGTAAAAAAAAAAACAAAAGGAAAAAAAAAACCTGCCTTAGATATTACTGCAATACCGCAGGAAACCTGACCTGGGTGTTACAGATCTTGCTGCACAGCTATCATTAAATGACTTGTTGAAATTTTAATTCTCTGATCACATTAAGTGGTTTAGGAAGACAACAAAATCTGAACTGATCATCTTCGGCGGTGTCATCTCTTCTTAAAGAAAAGGCTGGAAACCCTGCAGGCTTATTTATTCTCAGTGTCACAGTGGATAAGGTTACAATGCTGAGCAGATGATGGGACTGACAGCTCGTGTCAACACAAGACACCCACAGTCCATTACACCAGATAGATGTGGAAATCAAACAGATGACTGACAGGTATGAGCAGTATTATGCTGGTGCATGTATGATTGAATTACTGCAGCAGCTTCCATAATCAAATTGCTGAACTCTGTGTCAAACAGAAAGATACAGTACAGTGCAAAAAGCGGTTAAACATAAAATTCTAGACTCTGTGCTTTTCCCTATGTTTGCAGGAACATTGAGGAAAATAAAACAAATGTGAAAAATATACATTAATACATTTGCACATCCCCAAAATGCAGAATAATAGAAGCATCTGAATAGAAACACAAAAACATGTGTATCTTGAAAAATAACTTCGGAAGGACTACCATATGCAAAATAGCCAAGAAGCTAAAAAAAACTACAAGGCAGAAATGTGTTCTCTGTTTTCATATTTTCCTGTTTCAGAAGAGCTGCACCTGTGCAGCATCCCTGCTAACCACAGCTGTTGTAATACAGGCCCAGTAGGTGGCATTCATGAATAGCACTAAGCTTGATAATACATCTATTGAAACAGATTCCTCCACACAAACCAAAGTCGTCTGTAATCTTGTCACTGAAGTGCCTCACTAAAATAACCTAATGAATAATGATCTCCATATGAAAGTCAGAGAAAGAGTGGGCATTGCTGTTCAAATATCATGGCTTTACAGACACATAGATTTTTACTAAAAGTCAAAAAGACATTTATCTTTAAAAAATAGAAGACGATGTTTACAAATATGCTCTATTGTATATAGTGAGAGACAAAAAAGAAATTAATCGAAACCAATCGTACCTCCTGCTCAATGATCATATATTCTACTGACCCAGAATCTGATGAAAAGCATTCTTCAAAAAGTCTTAATTTCTTCATTTTTATCTTCATTGTCAACTGACATAAGTTCAGGATAAATGTTGTATAAGACAATTAAGACTGGCATTCTTTTACAATAACTGAATAGCCTCTTACCACATTAGCTGTATTAACATTGTATACAATCATTAAAAAAACTAAACTACTGCCCTGTGTTATAATGTATACTACTGTATGTTTTTTGTTTGTGTATTTTATTATATATAATTCTGTACAATCGTTTTACCTTTTTAAAAGGCATGAAAACACCATAGTCTAAAAGGCAGAATTCAGCCAATTTAAAATTTAAGTGTCACTTCATTAGGTATATATTGGGGATAGTTATATTGTATGAGTTGTACCCAATTATTCCACTCATTTGAATACTAAAACATGTATGTCAAAACAACTCAGAATTGCTTATACCTCTAAAACTTAGGAGAACAAATACCACAAAATATACACACAATTCACAGAATTCTCTTGCTGATCAAGTAATTTATTTTAAAAAATACATTCCTGAAAAAATAATAAGAAATAAAAATAAAGCAAAAAAACATCTACTCACCCCTAATGCAGGCAGTCGCTGGGTGCAGGCAACAGCAACTTTCAGCTTCCAGTCAGTTTCACCATCTAGTTGATCCGTCCGGATAAAACACGCACCTGAGAACAATTTAAAAAATGTGACTCTCAGTATCACACATTTCTCCCATCATGGATCATTTTAAACATTTCTTTTGCCACTGCACTGACAGTATTGCACAGAGCAAAGAAACTTGTTAATTTTCAGAAATTTTCCTAAATGTTGTGACTTATTATTAATAGGTGAGAAACAGACACCTAGGCAGTGCTGTTTCAGTCTTGGAAATAAAATGCATTGAAAACACTGACAGGACACAATCTTTGAATAATTTTAATGGAAAAAAGAATATAACTTAAATATAACTACAGCTTAAAATCACTAGCACTTCTAGCTCGTCTTCAAATACCAGGGGCTTAAAGTGGCCAGATGGTTATGTTTAAATTTCATTTTATGGCATAAGTGAAAATGAACAAAGAACCATTTTCTAAGAACAAAAACATTTCCAACAAAATTAAATTCCAACAAAATCCAAAGTGATAACAGCCGAACAAGTTCATCTAAGTGCATGTACTGTTCTAACTTTTATTTAAAAAGTCAGTGATATTCAGTTTTTGGGAGCAGTTGCCAAACAAAACAAAGAAAAAAAAACATTAACAATCACTGGGAAGGCAATGACAGAGAAATGACTAAAGGCTTGGTTTGATTGTATCATCTGCTGAAATATTTTTAATGCCTAATTGATCCTTGTTTAAACTTCAGTGTTAAAGGTTGCCTTTTTTTAGGGAGCTAATATAAATAACACACAACATTTTCAGTCTGCATAAAAGAAGTACAATACAGTGCAGTATGTAGTAGAGTTCTGGAGGGTCTGTGGTCTGGACGAAGCCCACACATGAAGGGGATAATTTTTTTAAGGTCACGATCAAGATACGCTTTCAGGAATAAACAAGGATAACTGTTTTTAACTTTTCTGGCTGGGTATGTGCCTGTCACCAGCTTCACTGATCAGGATTTTTCACAATTCCTAAGAGTGAAGTGAAGACACCACTGCTATTCTGTCTGGTAAAATGACTAAAGATGTGCAACACTTGCAGGAGAGTTAGGTAAAAATAATTAATAGAAGCCATAAGACACATGTATTTGTATTAAATCATTAATACACCATAAATCATTATTTCTGGATTTTACACGCTGCTAGATGCCTCCACACACACGCCAAATAAAAGGGCCGTCTGCGTCACATCCTGCAAATGTTACTGTTAGCGATTAGTCTTGATCATAAAAACCACATTCAGACAGCAAGAGCACGGAGGTTTACTACTAGAAAAAAAATGTTCTCACCTAAAGGCTAAGGGAGGTTTACAATTAATCATTTTGAGGTGTCTTTTATAATAAGCGATTTCATCTTGTCATTTTATTACAATAATACCTATTTCATTAATAAAGTAAGTGTCAAAAACTCCTAGGAATCTTTATAAATCATTATAAACCCTACTGATTACATATGAATTTCTGAACGAGTGTGGAGCTGATTTGTTACAGTACTCTGGAGTACTATAATACAACATGTTTCCAGGCCCAAAAGTCAGACTGGTGCAAGACAACTCAGATGGGATGAGGAATTGTTGGTTTTAGCAGTTGTCTCTGTTGCTGTTGTTCATGATCCCTTCTGTTTTTGACATTCTTTCTTTTCTTCCTGGACGTCTTTGTATTTTCTATGTCAACGTCAAAGAATGCATTTCTCGTGACATCTCATTTGCAATAATAGGACCTTTGCTACTCCAAAAGGAAAATAATCCTCCAAAATCATATTTTTTGTTTCTCAACTTCAAGTGGACAGTTTCTTAAAGCGACAATTGAGCATATGTGCATCTCAATACCATTGTTATGCCTGTGAGTATGCACTGTACAAAAAAGGGCATGGACCTCTTTTTATTTATTGATTTTCAAATATCTGAGAGTCAATCACTCCATTCTTCAGTTCAGAACCAAAGATGGATTTAATTTATTACAGTGCGGTGGCAGCATATTTACAGCTTTATGTTTTTTGTATATTCACCATGCTACTAGCATATACAGCATGGTGCTGACCTTTCAGGAAATACCCTAAATATTGACTCTCAGTAAGGTCAGCTATAACACTGGGTTCAAAAAAGCTGCAAATGTCTCTACAAACTGCAGTTTGTTATATTCAATAATGGCATACTAATAAACAGCCAAACTTAAAAAGAAAAAGAATCAAAGGAACATGAATTGTCCACAGCCTCTCTCTCACCAGGGAAGGCTTGCAGATTACTGCTTTACTGACACTCATCTTCCTTTGACAGGCCTCATTCTCAACAAGGTCAAATGCAATTTCCCTGGGTCGCTTGAGAGAAAACAAGAAAAACAACAAACAAATAATAAAAAAGGCTTTACGAAAAGGCTTCTACCAGCTTTCTTGCATTTATGTTGTGTATGGATTCCAAAATGCTATTAGTGTCTTGGTGACACAATGTTATTTAATTTCCAGTCAAAACATTTTCACAGCTTCCTCGCCTGGGCTTTGCATGTGTGTTAGAACAGCTATTCTGTCTCTTCCATTTTCACAGTCCTTCAGCACTACCACTCATACAGCACCATTTCAGCTAGGTAACAGGTATGAATTAGGGATATCATACAATATACAGTACAACTGCTGATCTGATGTGCCAAGGAATTTTTAAGAGTCTTGAAGAAAACAGGGAGATGGAACAGACCTTCTAGTGCAAAGGTAGTCAAGCCTTTTACTAAAGGTTCAGCATCAAGGAATCAAACAAGTTCATCTGAGTTTATACAGCTTAGTTAAATGATGCGTGCAAGAGGGCCTCATGGAAAGAGTTACTGACTCTGCCATTATTCACTGATGGCCACTTGACTCATGGCTATACCAGGGTCAGTGCACAGGCTGGAAAAGCAAAAGGTGTGCTGAAGTTTCAACCACTGTATTACACAGAATTCTCTGCATTATTTTTCTTATTGTCTTCCAACCCTGAGATTCTATCTAAAAATTCACTATGTTAAAGTACATACAGTATGGTGTACAGCTACTTCAAAGCCCTGTAATGGCTATTCATTAAGCCTGTAAATGTTTCCTCATTTTTCTTTCCTCATTTTTCTCAAACAAAACATGTCACTATACACTTTTCTTCAAAACCCATGTGTTTCTTGAAAAACTTTTCAAAATCTCTCCAATTTCTGCTAAATTGTCACAAAAAGTAAATCGATAAACAAAATATTTTAGTTTTTTTAAGACATGGGTTGTGGCAAATAAAGAAAACCTTTGCTTTTGTAGTATACGAATAACAGCCGAAAATTAGGGCATATAATAAAGTCTGTGAAAATATAATATGTTTATATCATATTTTTTTAATATTTAAAATATATATTTTTTTCTATAAAGATATTCATCAAGTTCTACAAATTGCCTTTATTCTTCGATTCATAGTGATGTCTCCAGTCCTTTTATAGGATGCCTGAGGAAGAGAAGATAAGGTTCATGAACCCGCCCACACCTTCATGAGATTTAGGCTCTGCAGTAGGATTAGCACCAGATAGAGGAGTCCACCGATGTCAAAGCAAGCTTTCTGGAGTCCAGGAGGTCACAGGGGTCACTGTTTCGTTGGGACCCGAGACAGCTCTGGCCAACGAATCACAGCTCGCCTCCCTGTACTGCTGAACCAAGGGCATGCCAGTGCTCAGAGAATCCTGGTCCGAGTCAGGAAGAGACATAACCATTTCTTGAGCTAGCGACATCAGGCTCTTTAACTTATACGATTATCCAATATAAGAAAACAATGGATATGACAAAATTAGAATAAAAGTATTGTTAGATATTGCAACATTTCAATCGGAGAGTGTTGACAGATTTCAAGTAACAAAAACAACCGGGTTTGCTAGCAAACTGGCACATGTCCAAAAGTTGTACATGAAAAACAGAAAGTATATAGAAACAAATCATAATCCTGGAGTCGTTCAATGTAAAATTTATCTATACTGCTTATTATTCAATAATAACATATATCTGTGTGATATTGGCCACTGCACCCAAAAACTGGCATAACACAGAGGGTGTCTGACTTCAGCTGGCTTTAATGTAAGTCCGTAGACCATGAGTGTTACTGTTACTCTCAATAAACATGACCATTTCAAACTAAAATCTTGTGCAAACTGTATAATGCAAATATTACATTCAGAGCAACTTTAAACTTCATATAGTTTCATTGCAGCTGGCCTTGGCAGAAAATGAACTTCAGAGAAGTATGTTCTCTTTCCATTTACTGCTCATGTCCAAACAAATGCTGAAAAAAATACTGTTTTGTTTATTTAAACAAAAATAGCATGAAGAACTTTAACAAAAACATTTTACTTTGTGAACGCCATGCAGTGCTTTTAGTGCAGATTAGTGCCTACGTTTTTGTTTGTAAAGGGTGGCAAAACACTGAAGCTGAAATCTGCAGTGTACCTGCAGTTTCACCCCGTTATCTGATCACGTCAGCCTTTATTAAAATATACGACACCCTCAGTGCATAAGTGTTGCCCACTGACAAGTCATTTACACTGGAGACCGATACAATCCATTCTTCCATCAAATAAAAAACACTCTTAATTGTAACACAAAACACAATATGATAAGTGGAGATGAGCAGATGTTAGAAAATGTTCTATTATGATTGGAGTACAATGTTTACTCAGTATATTTCTGGCAGGTGTACCAGTCTTAAAACATGTAATCAGTTTAAAAATGTAATCACAGTTGTTAAGCTCTCTCTTAATTAAAGCATAGAAGTCTGTTAATTGCGAAGGATTTCTGCTTAGCATCTTTTTTTTCTTTGGCTCTTGTCCTGGTCCTGAAGCAGTTATTTCATGTAATGACGTAACTGTTTAGAAAGACTTTCTCTGGCCTTGTCCTTGCTCTTTATATGTATATATGGCTTTTCTTAACTATGTGTTTACATGATTTGGGAAAAAAACCTCAGCCATAAAAAAGCACTGCAGACGCACTGCAGAATGTTTAAAATAGGATTAGGGGAAACTGATGAATATGTTAAAGTATCAGGTG